TTAATGTCGCGTTCCGAAACTCGCGTTTCTTTTGTATTAGTTTCGGCACGCGAGATAAAATGCATCAGTTTCCACGTCATTAGATGTATTGCCGGAACATTGATGAAAATACGCTCTGTAGTAGCAAAGCTGTTGGGTCCTAGATAGCTCATTGGTTAGAGCAGTCCCTGGATCGCGAATGGGTTCGAGTCCCATTCCGGGGTACAGGTAGATGGATTCTTCCAGCATTTTTCCTTGAGAATGTTTATATTTAATTCGAATAGTTTACTTTTATAATGCTGTTGTGTGTAATGTGTTTTTATGATCATAAAAATCTCTTTTTTCTATATTTAATACTATTACTATTAATACATTGCAATAATAATTATGATTCACATGATTAACAATAAAGCGATTACTTACTTTTAAATCCTTATATATGTTTTATTTAATTATTTTTTATTCACAACGCCCTATCACCAGGGTGACGGTTCTGTTCAGGAGATTTTTTTTAAATACGTAGGCAAAAAAACTGCCACATTACAAATCTTTTTGACAGGACGAAGTCTGTCGGGTCAGCTAGTATTTATATATATTCAAGAAAATGAGAAATATCGAGGTTTGTCTCTTGAATGTTATTATATTAATGTATTAATAATATCATTACAGAAATACAAAGTACGTTCAATAACATAAAAAATCTACTTCAGATTTTAAGCCTTCTAATTTTAATTCAAAATAAATAGATGGGATTCGACATTTAATGTAACCCGATATTATCTCAGATTAGCAGCAAAGCTTTAGGCAACATAAGATTACACAATTAAGCTACGTTAAACAAAATTGTTACTATGAAGTAGAGTCCTGATTATCACTTAGTAACATAAGTCACGACAATTTTCATTATAATGAATGTTTTTATGTCTGGATTTGTTAGATATAAAGACCTTATCTGTTTAAAATATAATTAATAGGTAAGTTGTAGATAACGGTAAAAATACAGGTCCTGAGTTTCTGTTTAGTAAGATAATGTGTGCGAGTACCAAAGCAATATACAAAATATTTTCAGAATTAAATGTAGGTTCAAAATAAAGCTTTCAAATATATACGTTTAGGTGAATATACGCAAAGGTCATATTCGGAAATAATTTATATTCTAAGGAAACAAAAATATAAGTACCTATACTTCATAACTCCCGGGTAGGAAGTTAAAATTAAAACAGATATTCCAGCCGTAAACATTTGTGATGATAATATATTTTTCGAATATTCATGCCTGAAGAGTCAAGTTTGCTTTAATATTACTGTGATAATATTTGTGTAAAGTTTGTTGGTTAACGGGTAAAACTCGCATATACATTCATGTTCCTTCAACGGACAATGGGGAAACCGCGTTAATTCTATGTATACTTACTAATTTACTTTTTCTATTATTTTCTATATACTCGTAAGTGCATCAATAAAGGAATATCTAGTGTATTTTCGAGGGTGTGCCACCGCGGGCGCTAAGAACTTACACGTTGAGGTTGCAAACTTATAATCTAACTAATAGATTATAAGTTTGCAACCTCAACGCTAGCCGCTTATACGCCACGACTTCTTTTGTCATTCGTCTTTTGTTTTTTCTCCGCAATAGTTGAAGAATATCTTGAGCCGCATAGATTTCTATTTATTTTATACAAATATATATATAATATATACGCCTCATCACCAAACAACAAGTAGAAATATTACGTTAAAGTAACTAATTTGACGTAAAGGAAAACAGTTCTTTTGAATATTATATAGCAATCTTAAAACCATAATATAAGGCGATAATTGCTTGACTTGAAAATAAATTAAAGTATACTGAATGTTTATAAATTCATTCAATTAAACGGTTATATTACGATAATATTTTTTTTTTGTGCAATTAATACATTATTTGCTGGTACCATTATAAAAAGTAAACTATTTAGTTAGCTTTCTCAGAAATCTCTTTAATGGGTCAGTGAAAGCATTTCCACAATAATAGGCATATTACTCGGTGGTACCGAAAGACTTAATGCACTTACTATTCCGTGGTATTTGTAAAAATCTGCTGAATCAATTACTAGTTGCGATATTACATCTATGCTTATATTATAAACAGTTAAAGTTTCTAGCTACATTTGTTTCTTGAGGGTAAACTTCGGAAATACCGATCCGATCATGAAAGTTCACCTAGGGGAAGCTACTTTCATAAAATGGCGGTGTAGGCTATAATTAACGCAGGAAAAATCGCAGGAAAACGGCTAGTAATATTATTATAGACAGTTGTAACGGTAAGGGGTTGTAGGTAAGTACTGTATGATAAATGGCGACCCTTTTAATCCTCTAAAATCCGTACCTTTATTACGTTCCAAGCATCGGGTATCTGGTCATCCATCACAAGCAACAGCGATGCTCGCAGCTGCGTTCATAGATAACAAGATTTCTTATCATTTTTATTTACCTAGCTATTAGTTTTCATTGTGTTATGTTATTTGTTTAGAATAAGATTAGAGAAAATCCCTGTTTGAGGATAAATCTGTCGCCATTGGTTTCGGTTTCGTTAGGATTCGATTCCTTTTATATTTATTGACGATCTCCGTAGCCGAGTGGTTCTTACACAAGTTTCAAGGTGTCCTCATCTCTGTGGTCCAGGGTCCGATTCCCAGTCGGGTCATTGTAAAGAATGGACTTTTCTATATTGTCTTGGATCTCCTTATTATGGTACCTTTGTTGTCTCAGATACTCCATAATACGGGGTTTTAACTACTCATCTTGGAATCTGAGCAATGTATATAGTGTTGGTTCATATTTATTAATTTATATGGAATACATATGTCCCAATAAAGCTTCCCCATATGTATGTATCTATATGCTATCAATATGAATGCAATGAAAACTCTTCGTCATTGAGTGTTACGCTATTTGGTAAGAATAAGATTAGTTCTTTAGTTAATTCGCCTTAAAGGGGGATAAATTTTAAAATAGCCACCCACTTAAAGTTTTACCCAATGTTTTTGTTGTTTACTTACATAAAGATATTATGATGATATTTATGAGATGTATTTATTAAAAAATATATATTATTATTCAAAACTATATACTATATATATTTGATCAATTTGGCCTTCGAAATGCTATACTGGAAAACATTCATAATGAAAAATGTTATAGAAATCCACTTTGTCCCTGGCAATCCGAGATGGGATTCAAACCCATGACCTTTCGTAATCCGGGCGACTGCTTTAACCTAAAAGTTTAAAATATTTGTAAAAATATTTGTTTCGGCTGTTTGGGAGGATTGCCTGAACATTGGTCTCTTTTAAATTGTTTATAATTTCTCGGATGGTTTTTTGTACGAGTCGATTGTTATTTCTTTGTTAACTATAACTTTTAAATTATATATTGGATTGGCGTTTGGTTATAAACTTATACCTATGGCTTAATATTACAAATTTAAACTTATGGCTTAATGAGTTCCATTAAAATACATATGAACTGCGATTTGTCTTATATAACCTGACAAAAGTCAGACGTGGGTCTTTGCGGTTTAAAGGTACTGGATTTTATTACTTTCTAACATTGGCGGGTTTAAATGGTGGTCATCCGTCATTGTGCCGCCTTCGTAGGTAAAAGGTTTTTCCACTACGTTATAAATTATTCTAAAACCAAATATTATGTCCCTTATGATTACTCGAGTAAAATATTTTTTTTACTTCTCTTTCTTATCCTTATCTCCATTAGAGGGCAAATAAATATGCTAGTTAGTGAATAGATTTTTGACTCTGTACAACCGTTGAAAGTACCAACAATAGGGATAATTACTATATTTTTTGTTCGTCTGCCAGGCAGATTGCTGATAAATATTAAATACATATTTTTTTAATTTTTGCGACATTAATAAATTACTGCGATCATTGGGTTGAAATGTCGCATGAAGTCACGCCATTGTACTTTTTCAATATAGTTGTGACGTAGCGAGCAGTCACTCCTCATACTGTTATCCAAACCATTTCTTGTTATATTGAATCAAAATAATCCGTATTTCATATTTTTCTATTATTTGACTACTATTATATTATTATACTAAAATAATAAAGAAGAAAGATTTGATTGTTTGTTTGCATCGAATAAGCTCCGAAACTACTGCACCGATTTTAAGAATTCTGTCACCTACAAGTACGTCACACAGGCTATAATTTATGCGTGTAAAAACAGCTAGTATTGTAATAAATTAAAAACAGTTTTTGACGCAGTATGCGCTATCCTCTGATTAGTATCTCTCTGATTAGATATATAAGAATCTATCTCATTGCCCGGTAAAATACCAGTAATGAGTCTTTTAGACGTACGTTTAAACATTTTGATGTTTCAGACAGGCGTATCAAAATACGATTGTCTGAAACGGTTATATATAGACGGCAATTTTATTTGATTGGATAATAAATAATTTTCTGTTCTGTAGCGCAGGTAACCTTTTAAACCATTAGTAGTGAGATCCATCAAGGAGGGTGCGTTGTTCGTATTGTGTGGAAGGTCACCATGTCAATGAATATGAGCTGACGTCATCTTTATAGGTTTTGTGAAAGAAAATGATTACAATATCGCCTATTACCATTACATTTATTTTATGGGCCAATTTAAAGTCCAATAATTAATTTTGTGGGTAAAGATCAAAGTATTCTTATTTTGAATGAAAAAGTCGTTTAAATTTAATTTTTTTTGTGAATGTTTTTTCATTCACAATTGATTCATAACTTTATTCTTGATAAATTATGATTAAAAATCAAGTGAAGTTATACACTGTCGCCTGTATCTATACATTTGTTATTATTTTCGTATACGAAATATTGTTTTCTTTACAAAATAAAGTCGAGTCTTCATTCGGTGAATGCGCGATCATTGATTAAGCTTCCGTCTGAAGCTACATCGCAAACAGATAAAGTCTTCATCCTATTATTTATAGTGATTCCCTTCATTTTTTCATTTCATGCACGTCGTTCATATCCAATATGAAAGGCAGGATTTCAGCAGGAAAAAGAGACTTATATTCCGTCATAGATATAAATAAACTATTACTATGTATAGTGTAAGCGTATTATTATTATAGTTATATTTATTGCTTTGATTAATAAAGAAATACTGTAATTAATAAGTGTATATTTGTATTCGTTAACAGTACAGATTATTATTACTTATTCTTATTTATTAATATGGTTACAAATAAAAGATTCATAATGATCAGTGCGTATTAAAAAGTATGCAATGTTACAAAAGGGTACTAATTATAAAAAGCAATTTCTAATGTCATTCAAGTATGTGTTTGTGTATTTCTAAAACGTAATTATGATTACACAAACTCAATTTAATAATTTACAAACCTAAATGTAAGAAACTCAAAAATTAGAACATTGATTGTATTGAAAACGACATTTTGCTAAAAACTATGACAGTATTTTTTGATTTGCAGAAATATTAGTTTAAAGAAACATTACCGGTTCAAAATTTTTGATTTAGAACATTCTTAAGAGCTTACGGCAATCATTAAACGTTAATAGGTGTTGGTACAATTGGATGTTAAAGGAATAAATAACTTCTATGACTAAATAATTTTATAACTGCGTTTCATAAATACACCTAATGGAGTCATGTATGTTTTTCTTTTCTATTTTTATTACACTAAATACACAGCACAACACACCCACACTCTGAACTGAATTTATTGAGTCAGTTCTTTTTTTCATTATCTGAAAATATTGGTATTCTAAAGTACATTTATTTAATGAAACCGCACGCACCCTTGAAGTCTACTGTAATAAATGTGGAACTGCATTATATTGCGACTTTCACACACAAAGTCAGTGTAGCTGTACACTGTCTGCCCACCGCAAATAAATTTAGGTGCACAAGCACCAACAAATAACGAACCATCTCCGACAACTTTGCACGTATTTCGCTCCTACAAGAAGCATCATTAGGAGCTGTTAGAATAGGCTAGGTTTGTATTGTAATACAAAGCTATATATTTTTTATTTAATCCTTATTGCCATATTACTGCAAATGGCGGACTTAATGCCATAGGCATTCTCTAGCAGTCAACCGGAGAGGATAAACCGAAAATTTGTACGGCAGTGACAGTGATAAGAATTAGTATTCTGATAATTATTCTTATCACTGTCATTGCCGTACAAATTTTCGTAAATTAAACAATCATACGCATATAAAGACACATATATATATTAAGACAATACCCCACATACAAACGCACCAATACATATATACATAAATAAATCTATACATATACAGTAAAATAAACATCGACATGTCAGACTGGAAAGTCAGGATAATGTTCACGCGCTTTTCTCTTGAAAACTAACCTATTCGGAGCATTTCGTACGTCCAGAGGTAGTGCGTTCCACAGCAGTAAGAGAAAAAGATTTGGAAACAAACATAGAATGATGAGAAGAGGTCTGGAGTACCATATATTACTTATGTATGAACTTGTAGTTGTGATACCTAAAATTGCAGTAACAAAATCATGAATTTAATTTTATGATAATTCTCGATGTGATAGATAGATAGATATACACTTTATTGCTCACACATAATTATTAATAATAGATTAACAATACAGGTATTAATGCTAGGGTGGGCAAAGCTTTTAGCGATAAGACCGCCTTTGCCCACTTTGTGATATTGTGTAACTCACCAAATAAATTAATTTCAATAAAGTATATAAATTAATGATTAATTTTCGTCTGAATAGATTTACATTAAATAAAGATATCCTTAGGGCTTATTTACATGTTTCGGTTGAAAAGCATCTATCTTATTTACATATCTACGTGAATAAAACGACCGTCAGAATGATTGAAAAGGAACAAACAATAGATTGTCGCACACGTGCCGCCGCCGTACTCCACTGAACCGAAATTTATATAAGATAAAAAGCTGTCACACGATTCACACGGTAGCAGAAATCGTTACGGAAATATGTTGATATAAATACTATCTACATCTCTATTTGTTTTCAATTTTATTATTCGCTGTGTCATGTACCGTTTAAAAAGATTATTATAATGTTGCTTTTGCTTATTTAGTAATTGTATTTTCAAACGTTTTGTATTTATTAAATCTAGTTAGGAAAAAAGTGCTAGCTTTTAATATAGATTATTATTTATATCATCATAATGTTCCAACTCAAACAATAGTATAATCCGGACTATATTACATTCAATAGCTAATAGCACCCTCGTTCTACTCGTAAGACAAGCTTGTCATAACGTTACTAGCAGTAAATAGGTTTGCTCGCGATGCTCCTTAGTTTTACAATGTTCGTTGATGGGCTAATTTAATAACTACATTAATTTCTAACTAGTATATATCGTAGCTCAGTGGTGTATTGGAAAAGAGCCGCGGCCCGTCAAAATTCGCAAAGGTCGTTCACGGGATGGACGACTTTGCGGATCGTACTACTCTCGTACTTCGGAAGGCACGTTAAGCCATCTTTAAAACCCTCCAATCCGCATTGGGCCAGCATAAAGGGTTATGACCCATCCTCCTTAACGATCCATAAGGAAACCCCCCTGCAGTGGGGACGTAACAGTGCTGATGATGACAATGATGATTTATTTCTACTGTTAAATTATTTACAGAATGCCACAAATCTTCACGATCGCTTATTAAAATAATTTATGTACTACTTAAAATTGCGAAACTGGAGAACGCAGTGGTAAATTGCTTAGTTAAGTTAAGCAACATTCGCAATCGTAATTTGACCAAAAATTTACCTCTATTATCTCGTGGTCCTTCGTACCTACTTCGGAAGACACGTTAAACTGTTGGTTCCAGCTGCATCTACAGACAATAACACCAAACAATCTATACCGGATCAGCGTGGATCATGTTATGGCCCGTCGATTTGATTAGATTCCTTTTATAGGGAAAGCTTGTGGCCCAGCAGGGGATATTAACTATGAAGGTAAATTATACGCACTGAGCCCGCTTATGGTCCACTGAGCATGGTCCATTCTCCCTATAAGATTTGATTCCATTCCATCAATAGGGGAAACCTGCGCCCAGCAATGGGGACGTTAACAGCATTTATAACTGAGATATGAATATATCAACAATTATGATAAATAAGATAACCATAATAAGTCAGTTATGTTATATCCTGTTATAATTGTTGCCGGTTTATATTCAGAATACTTAAGTTTCTTTCTATTAACTCCTTTACCGCGTGCCACTCTTTAAAGTGATTGACCTTAAATGGTGTTTATACTCTAGTCTAGATAGTTTTTCTTAGTGCGAAAGAAATTGTATTTACGATAATTTAACTTATTTTCTTTAGGGTTCAAGAAACAGATGGATCGTACTTTGAGAGTTTCACTGCACTTTCCTGGCGGCAAGAGAACCGTCGTTTAGCCGCTTTGCGTCTGGCTGAAGCAAGGGCGGAAAGACCGCCGCCCGCCCCTACTGACCTCGGCCTGCCTAGCGTCTCCGCACAATTATCACACAAGGAGCATGAACATTTATATACTGAGGTACTAGTCATTATTATTTTATTTTAATATTTTACTCAATGATGTCCTCCATAGCCGAGTGGATTGCACGCCGGTTTTAAGGTGTTGTCATGTTCCGGGTTCGATTCCTGGTATGACCGACTTATTTTATTTTGTCTCGTGTCTAGGGGTGCTCTCTAGTACACCATAATACTTTAGTTTATTATCTTGGTATTTGAGCAATGCAAACGATGTCGTCTATTTTATATTAATTAATATTACGTTTTTAATAATTCAGTATGTTTTTATTTTTTTAATATTGGAAATATGGTCCGCCTACACATTAGAAATCTAATATAGGTATGGCCCTCTGTATATTAGAGATGAACACCCTTGGTTTAAAGATTCATTATAAATTAAGAAAAAAAAATTAAGGCTGAACCATAAGCACCATAGGAGCAATTAAAGTTAAGTTGGAATATAACATCCTTTACGTTAATGTTACGAGTATGACGTCATCTCACCATTGCCAAATGATGCAACACATTACTTCCTTAGCTGATACTTTAACATGTTTATTATTATTAAATTAATTTAGTGCAACAAACCCTAAGAATCCCTGAACGAAGTAGTTTTTAAGATGTGCTTTTTGTCGCGCCATCTAGTTCTCACATTTCTTCCCTGCCATAAAAAGTACTTGATATGTTCTTAATACTAATAAATAGAGTTTAAATATAAATATCTCTTTTTCCGATGCAAATATAATGAATATACAAACCTTAATTTCCCATTATACATATAAGTTGCATTAAAAACTAATACGAAGGTTCACTTTCTGACGTGTGAACGGTCTCTCAATTAATAAATTATGTCGATAACCAAGTTGCGCCAGTTGATTAATTGAAACAGAGAGCTATTTGGCATTTGCCACTATGGTCAAGGCTCTAATCTCTAACTAACCTAAAATTGTCTCGGAGAAATGACCCCGTCGTTGGTGGGTAGTTGACGAAACTTTGTTTGAGCCCAGTAATCAATCAACGTGAACAGACAGTGTTTCATTAGTCAGTGAGATAATTACATCGGTATGTCAGCAGAATAATGGTGAATTGATCGTGTCTTGCTTTATAATAATGATGGTAATAATATTGATAATAAACTGTGCGGTGACAATTACTCATGAGCAAAGAATATTTGAATAATAAAACAGGAAAACGTTAATGAATTAACGAGTTTTTGTGAATGAACAGGATATGCATTATTTAAAAAAAAATGTTTCTGCCAAAAAACGAAATCAAACGGAGAATTGGACGCTGGGTAAATTTAGTTTCCTAATTTATTATAGGGTTAACAATTATGAAAGGATAAGAATTGCTCTTCTCATAGAACAGGTCAGTTTGTGTATAATGACATTTTATATAATACTCGTACAAGAAAATATTCGAACAAGCCCTAACTAATTAGTGATTGAGAGTAAGTGAGCTACACGAGTCAAGCCGGCAAAGTTTCGATAAGTAGGAGTTACTTCATTTCAGAGAACTCCTCGTTATGAGGGTTAATTATCCGTTGTCTTTTAATAGAATTTAAAAAGGATGAGATTTATGTTTGGGTGATATTTTAGATCACACATTTTTATTTTTAAATTCTATTTCATTATTATCACTTAATTATAACTACTCTGAAATTCTGAGACAATCAAAATAAAATTATTGGAAAAAATCTTGGAGTTTTAATTTGTCCCACTTTCCATTTTCTATGAGCTGAAATAATGCTTGCATATATAACTTACATTCATCATCATCAGCCCTTTTATGTCCCCATATAGGGGCTCAGGCCTTCCTTGCGGATGGTTAAGGATGGTTAATGCTGGCCCAATGCGGATTAGAGAGTATTAACGACTGCAAATGCAGTCGGGACCAACGGTGCTTTTTGAAGCACGTAATAGCTCGATATAATCATTTTTTGGTCACTCATCAACCGACCCTTGCGAAAGTTGCAATAACGATTGCCGGCCATGGCGCTTATCCACTACGCCACAAAGCTACCACTTAGATCAAGGGCTTTCCAATTTTTTAGTCTAAATATTTTTCATATGTGACATGAAAATATATAGTAAATTATTAATAAAAAATAATATTGCAAGCATCAAGAAGTCGTAATTAAATTTAGTCATGCGTTTTTTCTACGAATGTTACATTTATCTCTCGGACTTAACGCAGAGCCTCTTTGACCCTTCTACGGAGCCCTAGGATTCCGCGTTCCACCTTTTGGGAATCGCTGGCTTAGACGGGACCCGGAAGGTAGCGAACGGACCTCTGTAATTAAAAGAAATAACCTCATCGAATTCGGGCCAGATTGATTTGTCTCAACAAGGACTTTGGTACAAGACAACGTACTATAAAAGCTTCTTATAAAATGAAAATTTTAAATTCAAATAATACGAGGGTCAAACTGAAAGTTCTTAGAAAATCAAAAACTGATTACATTAGCCAGTTATTAGTTTTATTATATCTTTTCAAAATATTGTCCATTCACGTCAATACACCGCTGCATGCGATGGAACCACTGGGAAAAGCACTTTGCCCACTCGTCCTTAGGGGTCTCTTCAATGGCATCGCGATACGCAGCCACCGCTTCTTCAGCATTCATAAACCGCTTTCCTTTAAGTTTTTCTTTAATTTTTGGAAATAAATAAAAATCACAAGGCGCGAGGTCGGGGCTATACGGCGGGTGACCCAGTAATTCAACGTTTGATGTCGCCAAATAGTCGATCGTTCGCTTGGCGGTGTGCGACGAGGCGTTGTCGTGGTGAAGGAGGATCCTACTGCGAGGTCGTTTCTCTCGAACTTTTTCCAAGACAAGTGGCAAACAATTGGTAGTGTACCATTCTGCAGAAACTGTTTTTTGATCCTCTAACACAATTGTTGCAAAATGACCTATCCTTCCAAAGAACGAGGCCACCATTTTTTTTCCCGCACTTCGATCTCTCTTCACTTTAGTTGGCAACTCCTCGAAAGGAAACACCCACTGAGCAGATTGTCTTTTGGTTTTAGGATCATAACAGTAAATCCAGCTTTCGTCACCTGTTAGTATGTCGAACACAGCATTTGAGTCACCTCCGTTAAATCTTTCAATCATTTTACGACACCAATCCACACGATGGAGTTTTTGAGCCTCAGTCAAATTATGAGGTATCCACCGGGCGCAAAGCTTCCTGACCGCTAAATGTTCGTGGAGGATTTTGTGCACTTGACTCATACCGATGCCTAAGCTTGTCCGAATCTGTTGATAGGTCACTCTTTTGTCAGTCTCTATCATACGCCGCACAACACAGATGTTATCTTCAGTCGTCGCCGTAGAAGGCCGTCCCTCACGTAAATCATCAGTGAGATTAGTGCGACCACGTTTAAACTCATTAAACCAGTTGTAAACAGTCGCACGAGATGGGGCTTCATCGTGAAAGGCCAATCGTAGTCTATCATAACTTTCTTGTTGACTTAAATGACATCGAAAGTCATAAAAAATCATTGCACGAAAATTTTCTCGTGTTAAATTCATGATGACGTGACACAGACAATTTTCAATTTGCCGCCAAATCGTAAAACAAATGACAAATGAATGAAATATATACTCAGTAATATTGGCAAAGAGTTATATTTTCAAATTTTAGAATTATTTTTTTATTATATTGTTTATAAGTGGCCAGTTCTAAGAACTTTCAGTTTGACCCTCGTAATAATTATATCACAGGCTACGATGACCACCGTGGCTAAGTGGTTCGCACGACAATTTCAAGTGTCGATATCTTCGAGTCTTACTTATAACACCTGATCCATGATCGTTTACTGATAGATGAAATGGAGGTTAACTTATATATGAAACATTAATTTTTTCAGTAAATTGATTGAGATATTAATGTCAGAAAAAGTCCACGATGACTGAAAAGCTAATAACAAATTGTACCCAGGCGGATTAGATCGCTTCTATTATAGTAGCGACTGTTTAATATAATGGAAATGGCTATCGGTTTTAATACGTTTGGATTTCTATCTTTAAAATTAAATGACTTCCATGTTAAAATTAAATTATACTATGTGTTCACATATACGTGACCATCTAATTTACTCATTATTTACTCACTGTAAGACTAGACTGTAATAAATAATAAATTCTAACAACAACCAATAGAAATTGAACAGTTTTTCGTCACATGTGGCAGTTTCAGTGTCGGTCGACTTATATCCCCAGGGTGATAAAGTATTCGGATCACGTCTTATAGCTTTTGCCAGCTGTCGCAGTGTCACGAAAGATCAAGTTATTTAAAATACATTTCTATCTAAAACGATAATTAGGTAGCATCTGTACTGCATAATATAATTATAAAAGTAAAACGGCGTCACGTCTTTTTTCATAACAAACAATATACTTATACTTACTTCATTATACTGTTTGAAGGAAGTATTTTAAAATGGCAAACTTTCAATAGATGGTATTCTTTGTTCGTAGTCTTACCAAGCTCGCATTTTATGTCAAGCGAGCAAAGCTGTTTGTCTTATTCTTGGTAAAAAATTGCCAATATTATTAAAATATTATGAAAATTCAACCCAACTCTACCGTTAATTATCTTAAGTTTCGACATAGATTAGATTTTAATATGCACGCTCCAAAGTATTTAAGAAAAAAGTTTTAGTATTTAAACCCTATAAATACGGAGGATTAGTAAAGAGGAAATTTTAAAAATGTCCACACCCTATCTCTCGAGGTTAGTTCCGATGTAAATAGAAAAACGCATCATTAAAATGAATAAGTCACTTTAAACTTTCTTTCTGTGTTTTGCATTAGGGATGCAAAGAATATTGTTAAATCAAATAAGCCTATTTAATTAAATATTTTTTCCTTAACTGTCTCGAGATATGCTAAGTCGCTTTTTTGTTATGTAGATATATCTGTCAGACTTTACACTGTGTCGGTGTGGCCATAGGACAGTGGTGGCACCCGCAACTCTGAATAATGAAACAGAATAACACAAATGATAAGAATATTTTAGTTTTGATATTCAACAATTTAAATATTTATATTTTTGTCGAATATATCATTCACCCTGCATTGGCGACGTCATGACCGAACAAAGCATTATAACCGAGATACATTAGATGTATCTATATAAATATAAACAAAACAAATTAGCTTTTAGCGCATGTATTATAGAAATCCGAAACAAGAAATTGAAAAATTGAAAAAAATCATGTTCAAAATCGAAACGACTACTGATATGCCGACAGCTAGAAAATAATGTGTACTGTTTGGGCAAATGGGCAAATAAAGGGGTTAACGAAAGTAAATTTCTGTTTTATTAGGTATTGTACTGCATTGAAAACGCAGTTGGTGCTCCCGCTCCCGACGGGCAATTCGCTTCCTACAAGGAAGAGGTGATAGAGTACGCGCGACGTGCGTTCCGCGTGTCTCAAGATGTACATTCGCGTGCAATGCGCTCTGCGGGGAGCGAGCGACCTCCTACTGTTGTACTCGGCTGCTCTGTCATCGAGGCGGATGGATTAGAAGCCAAGGACGCCAATGGTCAGTTATTTTTTTTTAATTTCATTAGTTTTTATTTACTAAGCAAATCAAGTAGTGTTAGCCATGTCATTATATGGTAGATTATTATAGTGCTCTAATCTCGAGTATAAAAATGACTTTGCTTTGTTATTATATAAACGCACAGCTGTAAATTCCAATTCGTCATTATTCAAGATTAGAATAGAACAACAAGCTTCATTCTTATAATGAAGAACAAGCTTCTATTTCTCTCCGAGACTAATATATAGAGAGGTAGGTATATAATCGAATATATAGATAACTAGCTGTTGTCTCTATTTTTCCTTATGAGCCTACCACACGTGCATGCTTGACCACAGTTTTACTTGCGCATGCCGGCTTGTACACTGAACACTGTGCGTGTAGTTGGTAAAATGGTAGCATGCGCAAACCTCAAAGCTTGGCTGGATGGTTTTTAAACTCGCTTGAAATTCTGGAATGCGCAAGCTATACTTGTACAAACTTGTTTGCGCGTGTGGTTGGGCGTTCAGTGTTCAAGCCGCTCAGTCAGTCGGGTGAAATAACTGTGCGCGCACTGTCGTAAAAATGTCGGATTATTTTAGATAATGTTTGTTCCGAAATTGCCGCAGATCTCCCAGTTGCCAAAAACCTTAAAGTTGCGGTTAATCTTTCATGAGGGAATATACTCTCACGCATAACCGTGTTTTGTCGTTGAATGAGAGGCGTAACCAAACGTAACAACTCACTATAGGCACTTTCGTCCATCCGTAAATAATTCTGCCAATCGTTTGGATCATCTCTTAAATCCTTGAGTAGATTCATATGTGAATGAATTTTTCTATTCAACAGCCATTTTTTTGTCCACTTTGATCGTTTACGCTTCGACTTATGCATTTTTTTTCACTACCAAAAAAATGAAAAATAATAGCAGAAGAAATAGTTCTTCATTGGGAAACATTGTTTCTACGCCGACGACGATGTCGACAAGAATGTGGCTTGCGCGTACTTAACTGTGCCGTGTGGTAGACACGTCCGTGTTCAGTCTTTTCATGCGAGAAGCATGCGCAAGCAAAACTATAGTCAAGCATGTACGTGTGGTAGGCGCATTAGTTATATCCTAAGTTACCCTCCTATGACGTAGCTTCCTATAGATGAACAAATTTTAAAAATCCTCGTATGACGGTCTAATAACACACAACATGTACAATTGTACACAATTTAGCTTAAATTTTGACAAGAAAATATCCCTAAAATTGACCGAACAAAACATTATAAATCATATCATCATAATATTATCTATGTAGATTGAAATTTTGATCAGATAATACGTTGTAACGTATTATCTGATCAAAATTTCAATCTAGATAATATTGTATATTATTCTACCTTGGCCCATTAAACAAAACGAGCAGCTGTGCTCGTTCTATTATATTTAAATATACCAAGTTGTACTGTGGGTATATTTAATAAGATAAAGAATTTAACGATTACGTATTACTCCCTTTTAAAATTCTACGTTGAGTGAATTTATGAAAAGAAAAACATGTTGAATGAAATATCCGACAAATTCTTTTTCTCGTCCAGCCAGTTTTTGGTGAGCTCCAAATCACATTCATAACGAATGACAGGAGTCGCCCTGCATAAATTTATCATATTGCTCCAGTTGAAATCTTCTAGGTGAAGTATTCAACGTTTATTATGATAAATCTGAAGTTGCACTTGAATTTTTCTCTGTAGATATATATTCGCAGTATGTTTTATCATAGTTTACTTTGTCTTTATTAATAATACCATAGATATTGGTAAAAGAGGTCGCTCGAAGAATCCAACTCGGCTGGGCAGCGTTCGGGAAGCTACGCGATATCTTCACGTCCAAATTACCACAGTGCCTAAAGACGAAGGTGTATAACCAGTGTGTGTTGCCAGTGATGACCTATGGCACTGAAACGTGGTCCTTAACTGCTGGCCTCTTAGAGAAGCTCAGAGTCGCTCAGCGAGGCATGGAGAGAGCTATGTTAGGGGTTTCTTTGCGCGATAGGATCCGAAACGTGGACATTCGCCAAAGAACTAGAGTGACCGACATAGCTCGCAAAGTTTGTAAGCTGAAGTGGCAGTGGGCAGGCCACATCGCTCGACGAACCGATAACCGATGGGGACGAAAGGTTCTCGAGTGGAGACCACGAACCGGAAGACGCAGCGTGGGTCGACCCCCGACTAGATGGACGGACGAACATCGTCCGAGTCGCGGGCGGCCGCTGGATGCAGCTGGCGCAATGTCGTCCGTCGTGGAGTTCAAAGGGGGAGGCCTATGTTCAGCAGTGGACGTCTTCCGGCTGATGATGAGATATTGGTGCCAATCCTGTTATTTCAAAAACTTTTTTCAGATATAGGTTTTATTGAACCTTTAACAGCGCTGCGATAGACATCGAATTTGAGGCTGTTTTCATTAAACATAAGCTCCGTTGTACCACATCGTATCATGAAGTATTAGAAAACTTTCTAAAACTTGATATAAGGATTATTACGTACAATTTTATCAATAGACACAGGCGATACGATGCGCACGTCATGTAACTAAAAAAAAAACAAAATTCTCCAATAAGTTTTAATCCTAGTATACGTATATAGTAATTATACCTAGTATACGTATTAAAGTTGAAAATGAAGTACACAAATTTGACCTTTAGTAACAATTTAGTATGCACTGTGCGTATATAACACATGTACCTACTTATATAACAAAATTCCCACCGCACCGCTATGTCTGTATGAACGTGATAAACTCGTAAACTACCGAACGGATTTACACGCGGTTTTCAACAATTGTTTGACTAATGAATGAGAACTATTTAGGTGTACATTATAAAAAAAAATGTGTAATAGTTTAAAATGTCGAAATGAACTGAACCCTTCAAAGTAAATAATAGTCACACTTTCATTTTAACTTTAGAAAATTCATTGACTCTTAAATTCTTCGACTCTTAAAAACTTACTTTCATCAGGAAAGAGGTTATAAATTAGGAGTTTTCTGAATTGCTCTAAACGATGCGGTTTAACGAAAAGGCGGTCGAGATTGAGTGGGCGGGCTTGACAAGACTAAATTTACTGATTTTGTGATATCACGTGAACTCTGCCGTCATAGATAATCACGGTACCATTGTACACCACCGCAGGCAGTTATTATTTTATTTTACTTTCTTATGCCATATTATATATTATAATAAAGTATTATAATTTATAGCACCCGCTTTATATACCGCCAGCCAATGACGTTTTATTATTTTCATTAAAATATGAAATTATATCTTTTTTGCTTCTCTTACTATCAATGTATGATTTGTTGATCGTTTAAACACGCAGGAAGGCATTTTTCTACAACTTTTCACTGATTTTATGAGCGAAAAGTACATACATTACACACATACATTAGCCACAACATATATTTTCCATACATAGTATATGTATGGAAAATATATGTTCCGTGTCGCATCAACACCAGCTGAGGCAGAGTCCTGGTTGTCCTCACTTTCTTTCTCTTTTATTAATTATGTACCTTTTTGTTTCTTTTGTATCTTTATTGTGCTTTATGTGTTCCTAATAATGTATTATCTTGTTCGTGTCTTTGTGAGGTCAATAAATGTTTCTTCTTCTTCTTCATATTTGTACTGTGCCACAACGCTGGCTGAAACGTGACTAAGAGAAGCTCGGGCAATTGCTTGGGTTTTTTTGATATCAATATTGCGCACAGATAACCCATCTAAACTTTTTTATACATCATTGCCGCCAGCAGCTTCGCCCCGCACGTATAGACCTTCCTCTTGGATCACTATATAATGATGAAAACCGCATATATAGTGAAATTTAAAAAATATCAGCGTACAGACTACGGGAAGTGACTTTATTTTACACTATGTATAGATTATTTGCTACCAAATGTAGCTCAACCTTAAAGAATACCATGAAAAAGATAATTTTTCTTGTTATTATTATATTTATGTAAAAATTGTTTCATGTTTGGCCAAGATTTGACATCCTATTTTTCTACTCCATTGTGATCCGTCCTTAAGAAAAATACATCTTACGAATAGAATGTAATAAGTATATGAAAGTAAAAATACGAGTACAATTCACGTTAGATATATGTCCCGAATGCCACCAGCATAACTAAAAGCGGTTTATAAACTCCCCAAAAATGTCACTCGCTCAGTTAATGTGCACAATATTACACACAAAATGAAATTGTGTTACAAAGAATGTACGGCGCATGACGGAGACGGCACGCTCTCACACTGTATTGAATTACGAGAGAGAAATATAGGTACGGGCGGCATGTCTCGTGCGACCGGAGCTTTTGCTTAACTCCAATTTGTGATTACTACGTCGTTCTAAATTGATTTCTTGTGTGATTTTTTTTTTATAAAATTTCATATTTGAAGTTGACTTATTTGATAAATAGTTACATAAATAATTTTATGCCCATAAGTTACGGATATAATGGAATGGTATTTCATTTCTTAAAAGAACTTTATTATGATTATTCCACTTTGTCCCATCTCAGAGTGCCGCATTATTAATTAAGAATATATTTTTCAGTTAAGCATTGTGAATACAAAATTGATCGAACTTTGTTATTTTTAAGTATTGTATAAACAACAAAATAAAATTTTATAATATTTATATATTTCGTTCAAAACAACTCTCGTTGAAAATGTTCATTGCAATGTACATACAGCATATTTTTCACTCTCTTAGTTTAAAACTGAAGGAGGAACCAATTTTATGACATTAAGTGTCTATAACAAAATTTACCAGGACAGGTCAATTTTTCAGAACAGGCTCACCATCATCACCAGAGGCAGAGTCCTGGTTCATCTCACTTTCTATTTATTTGTCATTATGTACCTTATTGTTTATTTTTCTTTATCTTATGTGTCTTTATCGTGCTTTATGTATTTCTAATAATGTACTATCTTGTTTGTGCCTTTGTGAGATCAATAAATGTTTCTTCTTCTTTTACTTTC